TCAGAGGAGGATCCTTCTACTTAAGCTCAAACTGCCAAAAGATAAAAGCACCTGCATCAGAAGTGGACAGCTTCTGGATCATAGAGAGGCTACTCGACACTAGTTTTCTGGCCTCTGAAAGATAACAGACTTTGGTAACACCAGCAGTAACACCAGCTTTGCTTGGGAATTTTTAATTTTTTTTAATTTGTTTGCATTTTTGAAAGCTGTAGGTAAAGACTTGCCTTAAATATAGACAAGCAAAGAAATCCCCTAAATAGAACAGTTCCCTTTTCTACAGTAATACCACTGTCTTTTTTTATGGGCTGTTTGGATTGTTCTACCGCAGTATATTCCAGTTTAAAAACAAAGTACCCAAATCCTTAAAACCCAGTCTTCTTCATTTTGTTGCAGAGATATAAAATGTGAGAGAGCACACAAAATGCAATGTTACCACCACACAAAATTGAGTACTTTCTTCCAAAGAGAAGAACACAGCACACTGTAGGGTTTTTCATTCTTTGTGATCAGAAGTCCTTTCTTCTGTCTTTACAGCACAGTAAGTGCTCAAAAAATACCCACATGGATAAGTATGGAATTTCTTTAATCTGCAAGTACATTGAAACTTTGGACAATGGACTGCTTTTTCCTCTGAATTACTGTCATAGGCCCAGACCTGATATCTTAGCTTTCACTTGCTTTTTCTGTTGACATCTATAATATGATAGGGATAGTCATAGTGATTCTTACCAAAAAGAGTTGCTTCTTTGACTAAATCTACTTTTTGGTAGAATATCCATCTATTTGCTCTTAATTCCCACTCTTAGCTTCATAACTGTGCTTCAGAAAAACTTTGTCACATTTTTATTCTCTACTAGCACACAAAGAGAGTGAATGTCAATGAATTGGTCCTTATAAAGCCACCATTGCCTTAGACTTTTACTTCTGAAACCACAAAAGACCAGGTCAGGCTCTGTTGATTCTCTCATGATTGTTGATTCTCTCATGATTCTCTCATCTCTATGGATGACTGGAGTTTTTTAAGTTCTGGATGTTCAAAGTGAGTTGTTCATCTCCTCAATCAACAAAATAGTCATTAACAGACATGATCAAATGCACAAACACAATCATACCGTGTTGTTTAACAGATTGATTTTTGATTCATGCCTGGCTCTATTAGCACATTCCTTGCTCTTTTAGTACTTCATGTGAGCAGGTACTTTTTCCCCTTTTTTTTTTTTTTTTGGATAGAAAATAGTTTTGAAGTCAAAAAGTTTCTAATATGAGTAGACTTGTGCAGTGGGTTGAACCTGGCCAGATACCAGGTACCCACTAAAGCCACTCTCTCGCTCCCCTCTGCAACTAGACAGAGGAGAGAAAAAAAAAACCAGCAAAGGATTCATGACTTGAGATAAGAGCTGGGAGAGGTCAGTGATTGATCACCTTCATGGGTAAAACAGAATCAAAGTGGGGATATTAATTAAATTTATTACTAACATGATAAAAGCCAAAGAGTGAGAAATAAAACAATCTTAAAAACACCTTCCCCCCACCCCTCCTTCCTTGAATGTTCTCCCTCCTCCCCTCCTGCTGTGCAGGGGGATAAGGAATGGGGGTTATAGTCAGTTGCTGTTTCTGGGGTGCAGTCCTTCACGAAAGAGCTGTACCAATGTTGGTCCCTCACAGGGGCTACAAGTCCTACCCGAGAAAAACCTGCTCCAGTGTGGGCTTCCTTCTCCACGGGCTGCAGGTCTCTGGCAGGACCCTGCTCTATCCTGGGCCTCCCACAGGGTCACAGCCTCCTTCATGCATCCACCTGCTCCAGCATGGGCTCCTCCATGGGCTGCAGGTGGGTCTCTGCACCCCGATGGTCCTCCATGGGCTGCAGGGGCACAGCTGCTCCACCATGGTCTGCACCACGGGCTGCAGGGGCCACAGCTCCGGCGCCTGGAGCACCTCCTGCCCCTCCTTCTGCACTGACCTTGGTGTCTACTTTGTCGTTCCCATGTTCTCACTCCTCTCTTCCCTGACTGGAATTCTTTCTGTGCAACTTTCTGTTCTTAAATATGTTATCACAGAGGTGTTACTATCACTCTTGATTATCTTGGCCCTGGCCAGTGGCAAGAAGCATGCCCTGGAGCTGGCTGGCAATTGCTCCACTGGACAGGGAAAGTTTCTAGCAACTTCTAACAAAAGCCACTCCTGTAACCCCCTACCCCGCTACCAAAACCCAGCCCCAGGAACCCACCACATCTTGCTTTGCTACACTTGTTCCCTTCATAATATATGAGTTGTGGAGAAGAAAGCAGGTCAGATATCCACTATATGGTGTTGGCTGGTCTCAGTGACAACTCAGTATAATTAACATTTACAATTAATGTAAGAGAACGAACCTGGAAAACAAGTGCCCACTTATAGCTCTTCAGTCATCAATCCACACTCTAGCTGGAATCAAGGAAGCAGAAATACTCATCAGACTCATTTCTGGGTCTCTAGAAAGTAGGCCTTTTAGTCCCCAAGGAAAGTCAGCACTGCACTATCTTTAGCTTCCTCTCTTGGAAATATCTCTATCTCAGTTAGGTATGAATAGCTGACATATATGAACTATATGTTCAGTGGGATAGGAATGACTGGGGGATTTTTAAAAAAGCAATTCCTGGAGCATCCTGAAAGGGTGCTGGGCAGCAGGTGAATTTTTCCAAATATAGTAGCCAAGAAATGGGAGTGGTAGAGAAGTACATGGGCTGTTCTCTCTCCTATATTTTTAACTCCAAGCAGAAAGGATCTGCCTGTTTTTAAGAGGAAAATCTTGACATACCTTGCTGTTTGAAAATGTCATGTTTTCTAGTGATGCTTCAATTTCAACATGTGAAGAAATAAAATTACTTTACATGGATTATAAATCTCCATATTTAGTAAATTACATTTTCTTCTGTGAAGCAAAGCCTTTTGGGGTATAAGGGAACTTTTGACATTTTATATTGTTTATAATAACCTTCTTCTTTAGAAGATGCACAGCTATGACATGAGAAGGTAACAAACGCTCAGCATCAGGGCCTTGAGTAGCTATTTGCATTTGGATGCTTACTACCTGCAATTTCTGTCTGTTTTAGTGGTTTGTGGTTTGGCTTTTTTCATACTTGGAGAAATGGACTGAGGGCAAATCCACATCACAGTTTTTGATAGTGATATATATTATTTGAAGATTTCTGTCAAGGTTTAACCAGCACAAATTCATACCCAAGATTTGAAATCCTCTTTTTCCACTTAAAGAACTTTTGTAATTTGCATTGTCATCTTCCTGAGTGCCCCCACAGACCTGACTATTGCCACCCAGTCCTCCGGATCTTCCCTGCTCAGAACCCAGGACGTCCTCTCAGACCCTCCGGTCCATCAGCAACACCACAGAAGGGACAGTCTCCAGCTCCTCACAGCCCTGCCCCACCCAGCCATGGGCCCCACTGAGCCAGGCACACCTGCAGGCCCATGACCCACCCCAGTCCCAAAGGAGGTGCCTGATTGCAGGGGTTGGGGCTGCCCTGGGTCCCCTTGATCTGGATTGGGGGTGGGATGGGATGGGGCTGCTAGGTCTTGTCCTGGTGCCTTCCATGGGGAACTCCCATCCCCCACCCCCCATCCCCCAGAGATGTCTTATATTGAGAGATGCTTTGTACTTCTCAGTATTGCTTAAAGCTAGAGAGAAATACACATAAAAGAAAATATTTTTATGCATTTGCTGGATTCCCAAGCAGCAGCATACTCTGTAAAACAGAAAGGGAAATTTAACAAGCTAACTGCTTGTTAGCGTTATATGCAATCATGAGTTAAGCATTTACATAAATTTGCTATGAATCAGGAGGGAAGTGATGAACATTGTATTTTGCAACACTTCCGATGCTAAGACAGTTCCCCAAACACAAGGGAGGGAGACAGCCCTTTTTGTAGCTATACAGCCCTTTAAAATACAGTCTTTCCATCTTCTCTGAACCTGAAGACTATGACAGAAAGATAAACGAAATAAAGACATTTTGAAATAGAAGGTAGGTCTACCTTTTTCTTTCCAACTGTTCTGTTTGCTGAGGTATTCACTGAGACTTTAGGAAGTCCGGGACTGGAGAGGATATCCTAGGCAAATATATAACAAGGTGTCAGAGGAGTATATGGAATGAAGTTGAATGGAGGGAGTTTTTTTGCAAATAAAGTACCTGCTGCCTGTTAAGAAAGGTCCTAGACACAATTTTTATTTTTTTACTGGATTTGATACTGGATTTGTAGAAGTTAGACAGTGCTCCTAGATCATAGAATTATGATCAAGGAATGATTTGGGTTGGAAAGGACCTTGAAGATCATTAGTTCCAATCCCACCATGGGTAGAGACACCTTCCACTAGATCAGGTTGCTCAATGCCCCAACCAACCTGGCCTTGAACACTCCCGAGGATGGTGCAACAAGTTCTCTGGGCAACCTGTTCCAGTGCCTCACTGCCCTCACAGTGAAGGTTTTCTTCCTTGTATCTAATCTATATCCTCGAAAGCAAAGAACTAATACCCTCAGCAAACTTATATACTGGGTAACTTGAGTTGAATGATACTGACGTGATCCATTTTGATGTTTTATTTTTGCAGCTGTTTACCCACCTGCCTGACATCTATTAATCCTAAACTTTGTATACAGCAGACAGATAATCAATCTTTAGACCTTAATATAGTATCCACCAAATGTATGTCTGTAAGGTTTATGCAATGCTCCTGAGATCACCAGCTTTACAAATCAGCACACAAATTGTTTTGTTGCATCTATAATCATATCTTTGGAGGATTTATCCATAAAAAATTCTTCATTGAGTCTGTCAGTGAAAATATCCTTCAGTGTTAGTACCCAGAATGACATATGTCATTCCTAACCCAAGTAATAACTAGTTGGACTTGCAGGTGTCTAACATACCTAAGCATGTGCCATGATCCTCCAGATTGGAGAAATCACATTAGTTTTCTTCATCACAGATATTCCTCTGTTTGCAGGCATGAATGGGTCAGCCATTGAAAATTTTTCCTGTGTGATTTATAACATTTGCCTCATGAACTGCACTTGGCAGGCAGGAAGGGATGCTCCAGCAGATACACAGTATTTTCTCTACTGGCAGAACTCAAGGTAAGTAGGTCTGCTTGAGTCAGGGAAGCCTGAATTCTCATTCAACACATCACACTACCCGTGTTTAATGAAAATACCTTGCTTTACACAGAGATGATGGGCAGATGGAATGTGAGCTTTACATTAAAGATGAAAACGGCAGAAACGTGGGATGTAGATTACAAAATGTGAGGATAGAGATTGAAAAAGCTTACTTCCTAGTTAATGGGTCTAGCAAAGACTCCCTGATCCAGTTCTATGATGAGTACATTGAACTGTATAAAATTGGTAAGTAAATAATTTATTTTGTCTTTATTTTCAATATTGCATGAGAAGAGTAGAGTATTTATCCCTGAGAAGGAATCGTGAACCCTGCCTCACCTAGAGGTGAAAGTAATAGACTGTGGCATCTTCAAGAAAAGCTATTGCCCAAGCAAAAGAGCAATGAGGGAAATTAAGCAAGAAAGCTCCACAGCTGCAATCTGGCTCAGATTCTTTAGCAATCTACCCTTATTGGTTTTAGGTTTTTCTCAAGGAAGGTTCACAAGACTTAAAAAACTGTACTTTCCCCTGATGTCCTTTCAGTGATGGCCAAATGCTTTTCAACAGAGGAGACTTTCTAGAAGTTTATTTGAGCGGAGATTTCTGCTTTTCATTGCCAGTGGGGTTGACATAGAGTGGCACCATAGCCTTGATTAAATTAATTAATACACATACAACAGAGCTTTCACATGTAGTGCTCTACTTGAAAGTGTCCTGTGCAATTACTTCTACTGTGGTAAAGTCTCATTGGCATTGTCACGTTGGTTTTGGTATTGTCTTCAAAATGTAATGTTACTCACTGCAGATGAAACAAGACTGTTCTTTGACCAAGTAGCCCATCACAAATAGGCCAGGCCTGTCCCTAAAGATTGATGTGAAGTAGTAATCTAGCTGAAATTAAGCTTTCCTGCACCAGCCTTTTGTCACCCTTTCTGCTGTGAGTGACTGTCTTTTGCTGTTCCAATAATTAAGTCCTTGGCAATGATCAAAATATAAAGGTCCTCATATTTTTGCTTATGAAGTTAGGGGAGATACATGAAAAAGTTGCCTAAATTATTAAAACTGAAGTGTCTTTCTTAAATTTGTATGGCTATTTCTTTTGCAAGGGGGGAGTAAACTGTATAGTTCACAACATCAAGAAACCAACACCATCATGTGACAGAAGCATTGTTGTGAGGAGGCTTAAAGACAAAAAAGTGTATTGAATGTCTTACTTCTTACTTACTCTGGGTTAGCAGCAGCTGGTTGATCCACAGTTATAAACATTCTTTCAGAAAAAAGACAGTACTCTACTTTATTCATCTAGAAAATGAAAGGGGTTTGTATCTGTGCATGCTCCTATATCATCTTCCCTGGCTTAATTTCTTTTTTTTTTTCTGATCCTGTGGACATGATTTAGAAAACATTGGTCTTCCAACTATTTCTGACAAGTCCTAAGAAAAATAGATACAAAAGAGTATCTTCCTTCATAGGGGTGTTACTTGTAATTTTACTCTCATCAAAGCAAAAAGGGGTCAAGCGATTTTAATCATTTGGATTCTTGGTTGTGTCATTTCAGAAAAGCTCATGCCTCCATCAAATATCACTGTCAACTGTGATGAAAATAAAAATGATTGCATAATTCAATGGCAACGACCCCAAATAAGTCACTCTAACAAAGACAAGTGTTTTGAATATGAAATCAACATAAAGTATAAGGTAAGAGGAATTTCTTCACCCATGTTTAACATTAATTCATATGTTTGCATTTACCAGTACACATGGGTGAAAAGAAAATCAGTTTCTCTTGTATGGTGCAGTCTTCCTCACATGCAGCACCATATTCCTTGGTGGCTGTGCCTCTCAGGGATCCTGTTATGCCATACTGCCATCTTTTATTCTTTTTTTTATTCCTGCTCTCTTGAGTGAGATATTGCTGGAGATATACTACGTAACGGAGACAGTCCCAGAGGAGAAACTTGGTTAATCAAGATTTGAACATATCACAGCTTTATCCGTGACAACACTGAGAAAAAGCACTTCTTTCAGTAAAACCTCTTGGAATTGCCCTGGATTGGAGTCTTTCCAGTAGTGACTGCATAGCTGTGAAAGGGCAGAGCTGGGCTTTAAATAGTGAAAAGAGAAATATACATTCACTTAACAAGTTTGAGTTGATGGAGGTGAATTTCTCTATATATGAAATGCAAATAGCTTACCCAGATATAAGCATCACACTTGTTGAAGATTCATAATCCTAAATAAAAGGAAAATAAATGTGAGAGAAAGTAGAAAGGCAGTGTGATCAAGCACGGGTTACTGGGAGAATGATATAAGCTACAGAAATTCAGGACCTTGACCTTATAAGTCTTTTTGGAACAATAGGGAAGGAATGAGCTTGCTGCGTTCCGCTGCTGGAGTATATGTAAACAGCTGTAACTGTGGTATAATTGCGGCAAAAGACCACAGGGTGGCAGATAGTGACTACAAAGGAAAAACCTTCCTGAACTACTGCCAGATTTGGTCACTTAGTGGCTCATTGAAGGCCTTCCCAGGATTTCTGAAATTTGGAATTTCTTAGTCTGGATTGAGCTTGCTATTTCATGATAAATTTTCTTGCAAGCCCAACTAACTGCAGTGAAACAGCAATATTCCTCTGAATTACTTGGCTATTGCAACAATGAAACCTTATTGAAAACTCCATGTGGCACTGGAATAAAAGTCAATTGCAAAAAAGCAATACACACTTTTTAACATCTTTTTAATATGACTTATATTCATTTTATAAAGAATATTGAATTTCACACCTTCTCTGAACTTCTGAGCTTTTTTTAATAATAAGTAGCAGTTTTCACTTTATTAATTATGTCAAGGTCCAACAATTACTCCAGCAATTGAGCAGCATAGGCTCCCTTGAGACTATAAGATGCAGCTATAATCATGTCTTTGGAAGATTTATCCATAAAAAATTCTTCTGCAAAATTTATTGCTTTACCACTGCCTGGTCTAAACTTGTATTTCTTTACCAATACACTATGACCAACAAATGTTGTACCACAGTCGGCCTTCAAACTTTATTTTTCACAACTGAAGTTATTTGCATTGGGAGCAAATGCACACAAAAAAAAAAAAAAAAAAAAAGGATAACTTCATGAGTAACATAATTTCAATCGTATTTTTTCATGTCTGAAAAAATGTTTCTTCTTCAGGTATGGGGGTTTTTTTAAGGCTTTATAGATCAGGATATCTGGGAAACCCAAAGGCAAACCTCACCAGTGAACTGAGCTAAAAAGTCACCAAATACCTCCCCCATGTCCTTTGTAACTAGTTTCCCCCAACTCTGTAAGTAACAGGTCTGCTTTCTTCTTAACCTTTCTTAATGTCAATGAACTCATAAAAAACTTTCTTGTGTTCACTTTCCTCACTACTCTTAACTCCAGCTGAGCTTTTTCTTTCTTGACTCTATTTCTATATACACGGATGATATCTTTGTATTTCTCCCAAATCCATTCTTCTACCTTTTGAATAATTCCTTTTTGTCTCTGAGCTCAGACTCAAGCTTCATGTCCTGCAATGCTCACCTGGCACACTTGATTGATTTTCTGCACACGGAAATGGACCATTCAGGTGTGTCCAGAGAAGGACAGTGAAACTGGTTAAGAGCCTGAATCACAAGTTTTATGAGGAGCAGCTGAGGGAACTAGGGTTGTTTAGCCTGGAGAAAAGGAGGCTCAGGAGGAAGACTTTAATGCCTTCTACACCTGTCTGTAAAGATGTCGTAGCGGGGTTGATCTTTTCTCCCAAGGAACAAGTAATAGGACAAGAGGAAATGGTCTCAAGTTGCACTAGAGGAGGTTTAGACTGGATATTAGGAAAATTTCTTCACTGAAAGGGTGGTCAGGCATTTGAGCAGGGAAGTGATGGATTCACCATGCCTGGAAGTGTTCAAAAAAAACCATGTGGCTGTATGTTTGGTCCAGGTGGCAGGATAAAACTGACCTCTGCCAGTTGCAATGCTTTCCCTTGAATACCAAGGCCTATGGCTGTATTTTTCTCAAGCTGCCTGAAGAGGGTCCAATCTGCTTCCTTTTCTCGATCGGAAGATCTGAAACAAAGACCTACTACATTAACATCTGTGCTGGTCTGTTCTCTGTTGCCTACTCACAAGTTATCTTACTGGTTCATCATTCAAGACAGAGCTCTATGCATACAAGGCACTCCTTTATACACAGCAGAAGGACCAGGTTACCAAGCCTGTTTTCAAGGACACTATTACCCCCCTTGGTGAAATGTATCCCATGCCTGCTCAGTAGCCCCTGTTTCTCAAAAAGGGTCCCAAGGTTGTAGAAGACAAAACCCTGCCTATAACACCAGTTACTCAGCCAGGTGTTGACTTGCTGGATAACTGCAGTTCTGCTCAAGCCTTTTCGTCTCACTGGAAGGACTGAGGAGACACCATCTGGACTTTCTGCTCTTCACCATCCCCCCAGTGATCTACAATCACCCTTGAAACCTTTCAGATTACCCCTAGGCCTATCACTGGTGTCCACACAGAAGAGCAGCAAGAGGTTCAACAGCCAGACAAGTCTGGCTGTCCTTATGCAGCATCCTGGATCCTGGCTCCTGGTAAGCAATAGACCTCCATAAAGTCAGGTCTGTTGATCAGTGGCATCATTCCCTGTAGGAGTTCTTTTTAACTATCATACACATTTTCTCTATTTTTTTTAATTGTGGTGTCTCTCTTCTAAAGTTTGCAAAAGACCAATTGTCCTTCTGGAACTGCATTTTGTTATACTTTCACCTAGACTGATCCCTGTGCATAAGGTAGCTTGTTTGCAAGTACTAGAAGCTGTCATGGACAGCAGCTTGCCTTATAAAATCTTAGAATAGTTTAGGTTGGAAGGGACATTAAATATCATCTAATTCCAAACCCCTGCCATGGGTAGAGGTACCTTCCACTAGACCAGGTTGCTCAGAGCTCCATGCAGCCTGGCCTTGAAAACTTCCAGGAATGGGGCATCCACAACTTCTTTGGGCAACCTGTTCCAGTGCCTCGCCACCCTCACAGTAAATACTTGCTTCCTAATATCTAATCTAAACCTACTGTCCTTCAGCTTAAGGTCAAACCTCCATGTGCTATCACTACGTACCTTGTGAAAAGTCTTCTCCAGCCTTCCTGAGGGACCCTTTAGGTACTAGAAGGCACTGTAAGGTCTCCCTGGAGCCTTCTCATCTCCAAGCTGAACAGCCTCATGTTCAGATGCCACATGAGCATGCATGCAATTATTTCATAAAACAAGTCTGGATAAATTTAGTTTTGTTTTAAAATGGAGTATTTCAAAATAATTACAAAAATACATAACTCTGGTAGTCTAATGGAGATTATATAGTCTGCAGTCATTTGTTGTGTGTGGTCACCACATTACACACTAGTTATTATGGCTATTCAGAAAAAATGAGCATATTCTATTCTACTTGTCAAAAATGTAGTTGGAGGGCAGCCTAAAATAACTGTGAATCCATGTCAGTTCCCAAATATTTTCATCCAAAAGAAAACAATATTTACGTAGTATTTGCAATTACATATAGTGACATTTATTGTATAATTAAAAAATTAGATGCCAACTTAAAAGTTTATTTCACAGATTTTTATCTTCTTTTTTTCCTGGTGTGTGTAAGAATAAGGTTACAGTTTTCATTCAGGTCTGATTTGCTTGTGTTTGAGTTTAATCACCAATCTGAAACAAGATTTGTATCTCAATTGCAATGGCAAGGAAAACAAATATTTTTTCATAGCAGAAGTAGTTACTATATAAACTTGGCATTGTAGATTAGTTAGATATTAGATACTAAATGTTGGATAAATTACTAGTTCTTCTGAACAAATTGTCAAGTAGACAAGAAAAAGAATGCAGAAAAACAGGACAGTAGATAAAAATTACTTATTATCAAAACACAAAATAAGCAATGATAATGTTTTTCCTTTTTTTCTAAATTTACAGGATAATCCTGAAGGAAAGCCCAAATATGCTTTTAAACAAGTGAGTCTGCTTGTTCTATTAATCAGTAATACATATTTGTTTCATAGTCAACCGTGAAAAGTAAATAGTATGCAAATGCCTTTAAATCAGTATGTGTTCAGTGCCCTATGCTTTATGGGACCCTTATTTATAGATTTCATGAATGTGTCAAACTGCTAAATCATCATGATATACATCATTTGTTATACATTCAAGAGCAGAACTTTATTGTTTTTCTGTAAGTATTTTCAAAAAAACTTCTATTTTGCATTATTTTGTCTACTCTCCCTCTCAAATATTTGGAACAGAATTTGAAGTTACACATCACAGAGGAGAAAACATAAAACAGCTCCTAAGAATTTCATTTTGTTTATGAAAAGCATAGACCACAAAAGCCCTTTGGGTGGAGGGTGTCTGCAAGTATGCTGAACCTCCTGCTAATCAGTGCAGCTTTAACATCCCATCTCTGTGCTGAGGGCCTCCAAGAGTAAGAGTGTTTCAATAAATTGTAATAACACTAAGTATTGCAGTCTTCTACTTACTTACAGGTTTGGCAGGAAAGTTATGCTTTTCCTGAAAAGTCATAATGCAAAGACCAAGGCAGGTGAGGTACAATGCAGACAGCTTATTCCTCAAATCACTCAGTGGTAGCATGAATGGTAGTATTGAAAGAACACAGTTCAAGATGTTTTTCTGTCTCTGTCTTTGTGCTCAGGGAAATTATCAATAAATCAAACTGTATCATAAGAAACCACAGGATATACTTTTACAGTGTAAAAGATAAAAAGATTCTAAATGTAAAAAGTTTAGTGAGTGTCAGGTTGTTTTTGAGATACGCAGTTGCATATATATATACGTAATAAACATGAATACATTTATTTTTTGCTCTGGAACAGCAGTCTACTTTAACATACAATGCTTTCATAGTCTCTTAAGAGTTTCACTGGTAAATGGCAAGTGCATATTTTCAATACCTAGGCATGGAACAAAGAAAAGCAACTCAGTTTTGCTTTGTTTTTAGGAAGGGGGAAATAGTCACACATTTCCAAGGTCCAACACAAGAAAGAAATATCTCTTGAAAATGAGAACAGCTGGCAGTGCCTGCCTTGTGAACCCAGCCTGGGGGGAATGGAGTGCACCTCTTGAGTTTGGTAAGAACAAATCCGTGTCCTGGGCTACTCTTGCCCCAGTGATATCCTGTCTACCTCACACATTGCTGTGCACCTGCAGACACACATATCTATAAAAGGATTGGCTAACATTTTGCTTCAATCTACACTACAGAGAGGAGTAGGAAGAGACTTAACAGATCTCTTAACATTCTAACATAGGAAATAATATAAAAAATTTACACGGAGCTGAAATGCATACCTGCTTACTGCAGGGGATGGACAAGCAGGCTCAATGTTAATCCCTCCCAGCAGACATTTCTACTATATGTTAAATTACAGAGTTCATTTTTATACCAAGCCAAACCTTTCAGACTGATATTCACCAATAAGTCACCACAGTACATGTTTAACAAGAAGTTCAACAAGACCAAGTATAAAGTACTGCACCTGGGTCGGGGCAACCCCTGGTATCAATACAGACCTGGGGATGGAGGAACTGACAGCAGCCCTGCTGAGAAGGACTTTGGGATGCTGGTGGGTGAAAAGCCGGATGTGAGCCAGCAATGTGCACTTGCAACCCAAAAAGCCAATCATATCCTGGGCTGCATCAAAAGCAGTGTGGCCAGTAGGTTGAGGGAGGGGATTCTGCCCCTCTACTCTGCTCTCATGAGACCCCATCTGGAGTGCTGCATCCAGCTCTGGCAGCCTCAGTATGAAAAGTATGTGAACTTGTTGAAGTGAGTCTAGAGGACAGTCACAAGAAGGATCACAAGAGGGCTGGAACACCTTTCACAGTCTGAGAGAGTTCTGGTTGTTCAGCCTGGAAAACAGAAGGCTCCAGGGAGACCTTGTTGCAGCCTTCCAGCACCTAAAGGGCCTACAAGAAAGCTGGGGAGGGAGTTTGTGCAAGGACATGTAACAATAGCTCAAGGGGGAGGGGCTTCAAACTGAAAGAGAGTAGATTTGGGTTAGATATTAGGAAGAAATGCTTCACTATGAGGGTGATGAGGCCTGGGCAACCTTCTCTCTGGAGAAGGTTGCCCAGAGAAGCTGTGGGACTGCTTAAGGACAGGATGGGGCTCTGAGTAACTTGTTATAGTGAAAGGTGTCCCTGCCCATGGCAGGAGGTTGGAACTAGATGATCTCTAAAGGTCACTTCCAATCCAAACTATTCTGTGATTATATGATCTATTCCTTTTTATTAATAATAATAATTTATGACTGTTTCTCCTTCAGGAAATGAGGAAATTATTTCTTCTTCAGTGTGGATTTTACTCATTGTAGCATTTGTAACACCATTAATGGCAATCATTGCAATTTTGTTCTTCAAAAGGTAAACTTAATTTATGGATTTATTTTATTTTATATGGGCGTGTGGAACATCTGAAGTTCTTAAACAAATAAGGTAGGGATGTCTTTGTAGTATAGGTAAACTAGTTTTCATTCCCACTGTAATAGAAATTGATTCAAATGAGTAATCCTAATGCAAGTGCTATGATGGTAATGCCCAAAGTCTCTCCCTAGTTGATCCACACAACTTTTTCCAGGGCATATTTTGTCAATGTGGCAAGGAGAGCAATTGTATGCAATTATTTATATTAACATTACATCTGCTCTGAATATTTGCAATGCAGACTGCCTATACCACAGGTTTTTTGATTTCTTGAACTAATGAATTTGTTGCAAACACAGGTTGATTTTACTTACCAGGAAAGATTTTGCACTGTTTATTAGAATTGTCATAGCACACTCAATGTGTCTGGAAGCCCATAAGCTAAGCAGACTATCTCTTGAAATAAACTACTTAAGTGAAGAAAAAAGGATATTCTGTGGTATGATGGACTCTGCATAGGAATATACAGTAATTCAGAGAAGATACTGTTTTCCCAACTTGTTATAATTTTTACACCCACTTTTCACTGTTTGTAGTGACTTAAATAGTGGGACAAATTCTTTTTCATTTTCAAAGAAGAAACTAACTACTAGCAAATCGTTAACCAAGAATGAATCTTTTACTGTCCAAATTATTAGTGTATTCTTGATATGTTTTCATTCTCTGCTGAGATTATGTATATTTTTCAGTTCATTTCTAAAACAGAAGAGGAAGATAAGAACTTGCTAAAGTTAAAGGGTGCAATGGTTTTGTCATATTACGGTTAGTTCACTTTTGTATTCAATACTCTTTGATTTCTAGGACTGGCTGTTGGAAAGCAGCATTTCCACAAATCCCAGGGCCAAAACCTGCTTTTTTTGGACTGCCTGATACAAATCCAGAGGTATGTTCTCTCTCTCTATTTTTATATTTAATGTGTGAAATACACACAAAATTCTACTGGATGAATTTTTAAATTGTAAGGGACTTATTACAGAGTATAACTCTTCTTTTTGCCATATTCTGAAGAAGTACAAGAGAAAATCAGCAGACAAGTTTGTTAAGGGAAGTTAAATGTTGTGCTTTTCCAGAACCATGGGGTTTCTCCCACTCCAGTCTCACAGGCAGAGACTGACGCTTCCACTGGTAGATTCAGGCAGCAGGAAGAGCTGTGTGTTTCCCCAACATGAGGCACAAACATGTACAATGACACAATAGAGCAGAGTGATGCAGCCAGCCACAGCACAGGGGGCTCTACCAACACCACGTCAACATCATGGGCAGTCTCATAAATAGGGGCCCAGACATCACAGTCCTCCTGCTACTCTCCAGCTGAGCAGGGCTGAAGTTTGCCAGTGAGATGAGCATACACTCTCACTCTCTTCATTTACAAGCACCATACATTTGCAAGTTCCTCACATCCAGTCCTTGTGTCTGAGCCCTGTGTTTAGCCCCCAGGTCACCAGCCGTCACCTTGAATCTCTCTTACTTACACATGCAGAATAGAAAGCAAGGTAACGAAGAAAACAGTTCAAAATAGGGTTTCATAAGGAAACAGTAGACTGTGGTGGTCATACACAGCATTTGACCACACCAGCACACTGACCAGCTGTTCATTTGCACCTTTTTTTTGTCCACTATTTTATCATGTTACTCGTGCTCTGTTTGATTAGCTAAACTTCAGGCCATGGGTACCGATCTACTTTCACGCCTTAGTGAAGTTTATCCATTTTAATTAGTTAATTTAGCTAAATTAACTAGTTAATTTAATAAATCCTTAATTCATAGAATCATTTAGATTGGAAAAGACCTTTAAGATCATGAAGTCCAACTGTTATCCCAACATTGACAAGCCCACCACTAAACCATGTCCCCAGATTCCACATCTTCATGTCTTTTAAATACCTCCAGGGAGGATGACTCCACCAATACTCTGGACAGCCTGTTCCAATGCCTGGCAACTCTTTCAGTGAAGAATTTTTTTTCCTAATATCCAGTGAAAACCTGCCCTGCCAGGTTTGCTCTTGTCCTATCTCTTGTTACTTGTTACTTGGAAGAAAAGACCAGGCACCACTCCACTACTCCTTTCAGGTTGTTGAGGAGAGCGAATTTGTTTGAAATCGATAACCTACATGGTGCATTACAGAAAAACATGTTCTCCCACCCACCTCCAGACCCGCAAAACACCCATGTGTCAGCATTAAAAAGTTGCTGAAATTTCAATGTTTCAATGACCAGCTAAGGAGAACTTTTCACCTAAGAAACAAAGATGTGAAATACTTTATAGCAATATGCAACAACAGTTGAAATACTCTCAGAATTGTACAGGCTAACCTAATCATATATATAAATACACATATGCATAAAACTCATGGAAGTTTTTATTTTCCTTTCAGCTGATGGAGAGCAAAATTCAGTCAACAACATCTCCAAATGAAGAGATAATAGTAGTTGCTGACATAGCAAGATAACCAAGAAAAAGAAGAGTCTAAAATTGCATTTCTTAGACAACTGTATATTCCTACAGAAAGTCTGGAATAATATATATAGGCTTTCTTCACTCTCTTTTTTTTTCTTGTAAAAAACAGTGATGCAGCCATGAGAGAATGATACTTCACATGCAACCTTTTTAAATGCCATTGTATTTGCTTTTAATTTTGGCTAACTTTAATTGTTTAAGTAAGTTGTCCTTATTGGATATCTTCCATTTTCTGAATATGAAAAATAATTGGTTTATCTCATATTAAAAGCATTAAGAATACAATTTAAAAAAATTCTGGTGCCTGAATGCCATTGTTCTACTGTCGAAAATGGTCCAATTCATACCTGAAGTTTCCTGGGAGCTCTTAAATTATAGGCAACTGGAAAAATGCGAACACAAGCTGAGACACTGAGTAGTGGCCTGCAATCAATGGGATTCTCAAGGGACAGGAATATATCTAAAACCCTAACTATTCCTAGAGTTTAAGTGTGTTACAAATTAAGAGATCAGCCATCTCCTTCTGTAGGTACTTAGCTCTTTATGTTCTTACTGTTCACTTGCTTTTTACTACCTTATTATTTTTATATTGAGTGCATGACTCAGTTAATCTCTGTTTTCTTTTGTTCAACTTGAGAGCTTTACTTTTGGGCCAAACATGAGGTATTCAGAGACACAGGGTCAGGACAAGGTGTTGTGAAAACAGCCCATGCTGTTGTTGAATGCAGTAACTGGTGAGGAGTGATGCTTCTCAAGGATCAATGCATAGTGTTTAGCACTAGATTTCACCCCTCTAGAACCTGAATGACAGTGACAAGCTGTGTAAGTTCAGCAGTAGGGCACCAAGGTGATTATGGGTGTCTGAAGGAACAAGGATTTTTCAGCCTGGAGAAGACAAGTTAAGGGGTCTAACACTATCTTTCACTGTGTGTAGAGAAGACACAACAGGCTTGTCTGGGAGTTGCACAGTGTGAGGATGAGAGGGAACAGTCAAAAGTTGTGGCAAGAGAAAGTTGAATTTGATATAAGGAAAAAGAATGATTTACAGGTGAGAGTTGGATGGGCTCTGGAATAAGTGCCTGAAGAGGCTGTGAAATCTCCATCCTTCAATATATTTGAAATACAACTGGACAGTTTCTGACAAACTTCCTTATAGGGGAAATGATTTATTATTAGATTTCTTTTATTCCTTTTGTTCCATAAAAAAACTTTCTTGGCCTTATTTACTGTGCTTTTGTATTTATCCTTCTTTTGAAAGGGCTTCAACTTCTAGAGAAATGCCTTCTTATTTTGTACAGAGCCTCCCTCACACTGTTACTTTCCTAAGGATCAAGAAGATTTTTCTTTTTAAAGAGATAAAACCGCCTAGTATTTAATCTGTTTGTATTATGAACGGGACACAAAATTCAACATTTGATTTAATTGTGCAGGAAGATACTGGAGAAGGCATAACCACGTCTTTATCACAATAGTGCCTTCACATGTGATGTTCTGGGTCCATATCACTGCTTTTGTAGAAGCAAAGAATATTAGGTAACGTTTGTGTTGGAATAACATACTATTGGCACCTATTGAAAATCTAATTTCTACATCCCCTATGAAGCGTAGCGATGGGCAGGCAACATAAGCCCTTGTAAGAGCTAAGTAGTCAATAGAGACCACAAGGTCAGCATGGAAGACAAGAAGCAGATATTTTCACTTCCTGGGTATCTCCTGATACCCTTGAGAGAGATCAGAAGCACAGCAATAAACTCTATTTTACAGGTATATTTGATTTCTGGGTTTCTTTATTGGAGAAAGAAGCATATCCCAGTAAAGAACTCAGAATCTGAGCAGGTAATAGTAGAGCACAGACAAAACTTCTAATTTCAGTTAAAGTCTAATTCCATACAAGGCTCAACCTTGATCTGGAGCCATACTAAAAGAGTCTTTATTGTCTGACTCCCCAGTTTGGATGGTTGCTCAGTGAACTATTTACTTGTTCCTACCTGAGGAGGTAATGATGGAAGCTCACCATGACTTCTAAGGATGTCTTAAGGTGCAAAGAGAAAATGCTCAGCAACTTGCCTCCTTAAATGAATTAACCTTTGAGCACTTTCATTCACAAGAAAAAGAACTTTATCCTCTGAGTAGCCTCACTAGTTGTAACAACATATATCTTAGTGCTTCTTTTAGTCTCTGAAATTCAGATTTTGAGGGTTGGGACCAGGATGCTCTTCCTGGAATGGGGTAAAACAACTCGAACAATGTCCCATTTGCAAAGCTATCGGTGAATGGAGAAGGGGGTGTCATGCTGCTTTTGGTGTTGAATAATGCTGAAACCTGTCTGACTCATCATTTTCATAACTGGGTGAGAAATCACTGACAATCATTTTTATGCTTTGATATATAAATGCTTTGAGAATCAAAGGCTTAGATTTTTATACTATACATTTGAACCTTGCTATTTGATTTTTAGACTGCTTTTATAATGATACTAGACATTTGATTATTAGACTAAACACTCCCAGGACTACTTTCTTGCACAGAAGCCAATTGCCATGTAAGAGTCTAGATACATTTTATTAAACCTCTAAATAAGGCGGCCACTTACAAACTACCTTTAGAAATTAGCCCTGGCCTGAGCTAACCTCTGGACTACATCCAGGAGTTGTTCAGGACATTACTTGCAAATCCCGGCCAAACTAATGCTGGGAACAGTTGTTTCTGGACATGTTCCAGTGCTGGGGAGCCTTCCAGTTACCAGTGCAGCCAGGACTGCACTCTCTCCAGCTTATACTCTAGCTGAACACAAACAGCTCTTGGCACACCTAGTGCCTTTGACACAGTTAATGATTACCTTTCGGTCAAAGACTTGCCTGAGAAGCTTTTTGCAGCAGAACAGAACAACAAAGCAAATTTCTTAAAGAGGCTGAATTCCTGCTGGAAACACTTGTAAACCAGCTTTGTCTTTCTCAGTATGCAGCAATGGTCAGACTTGAAATGCTCACAATAACTTGCTAAAAGAGTGGTGGGTTTGTAATACACTGCACTAGTTTATATAGCCTTTCTCAGTGTCTTTCCTCACAGGCAAAATTGCCAGAGTGTGGCATAGTTTGACTCCAGTCCACCAAAACCTAGCCATGAGCTGTGAACAACCATTCACTGGCTCTCTGTAAGGAAGGGAATAGTAAAGTACAACAAAGACAGTATTGAGACACTCAGGAGATGGCATAATGAACTTGTTAAATAGAACCTAAACAAACTCCTCATTTGTTTCCTGTTTTCTCCTGGGAAGGATAACATACTTAACTGATTTTGGAAAGGTGCTACACCCACGTTCAAAAAAAAGGCCAAAAGTTCAATCCAGAGAACTGCACGCCTATAAACCTGGAAAACTCATGGCTTGAGTCCTCCTGGAGCATATATCTGTCACATTAAGTAGATGGTCTCTGGGAATAGTCAGTATGATTTCATCAAGGGTATATGCCTGTACAGGTGGGTTCCCACAGGGGTCTATCCTGGGGCCTATCCAGTTTAATGCCTTTATCAGTGACTTGGAGGAGGTGATGGATTGCCATCATGTTTGTACATAACACCGAACTGGAGTGACCAGCTGATTTGCTCAGGATGAGGGCTGCAATCCAGACAGACACAGACAAGCTGAAGGAATAGTCAAAAGAAACCTTGAAACCATTTGCTCACTTGAATTTACACTGTCTGGAAGAGGAAAAACTTTAAAAAATAAATTTTAAAATTATTTTACAAATAATTCAAAAAATATTTTATATAAATATAAAACCCCCCACTGTTTAGAAAAATTATGTACATTTCCTAGAACTCTGTGCTTTACAGCAGCCCTTGTTTCTTATAAAACAGCTTCACACAACATTTGGCAACTTCCTGAAGGATGTGCACACAATTCTTCCATCTACTGCTTTCTTATGAAAGGTTGGTAACATTTCTGAAGATTTTGTTACCCTGGTGTTTTTCTCAGACTTCTCCAAATGTTGCAAATGCTAATGCTAAACTGAGACATTACTATTAACAGATTTTTCAGACCATGTAGAGCAAAAGTTGTGTCTTTCACTCATGACAAGCTATTCATGAATTGGCTAGCAACATCTACATCAGTAGCATGGAGCACCACCTGCAAGAGATCCCAGCAGACCACTCTATGCTGGTGGACCAAGACCTCTGGTGTTCAAAGGGGCTGTATTGGAGAACTGGAGAGGTGTCTGTCTCCAAAAAACTATTCTAGTATGAGTTTCAACCACTCATATTGACAATACTGAACTAGAATAAAACACAGAAGAGCATATTAAACAAAACCAAAATAATTGCTGGTTCATCATAAGCACCAGGCCATAGACTGCGGCAGTTCACATCCTCCTGAAATGCCTCATCCCAGAAGAAGGTGAGACCTATTAAAGGAGAACACAAAAGACTTCATATGTCCCAAAGGAAGCTGGTACCCAGGAGGGTCAGAGCCAGGACCTGAGGGCAGCCATGAGCCCAGCAGGGCTGTGCTCTCCCTGACCAGGGCCCATTCACACCACCCCATGAGGGAGAGAACGGGCAGCCAAATGCTGAGAAGGAAAGAGTGGGTACCAGTGCACACAGAGCCCTGGTGAATTAATACAGGCTAGAGTTCAAAATCAGAGAATCACAGAATGATTAAGGTTGAAGAAGACCTCCAAGATCACCTAGTCCAACCCTTGGCCGAACACCACCTTGTCAAGTAAACCATGGCACTAAGTACCACATACAGTCATTTCTTGAACACTTTCAGGGATAGTGATTTCATCACTTCCCTGGGTAGCCCATTCCAATACTTGACAATCCTTGCAGTTGAAGAAATTCTTCCTCTTGTCCAACCTAAACCTTCCCTGGTGCAGCTTGAGGCTGTGTCCTCTGTCCTGTAGTTGCCTAGGAGAAGAGGCTGACTCCCACCTTGCTATAACCTCCTTTCAAGTAGTTGTAGAGAGCAATAAGATCTCCTCTAAGCTTCCTCTACTCCAGGTTAAACAACTTCGACTCCCTCAGCTGCTCCTCATACGGCTTAGAAATGGATCAGTTAATACTAACTCAGCCACTGTTTGGGCAGGCTGAAGGTATTAGTCAGATGATACTTTAATATTACCCTCATGTTACCTAGAACTTCACCAAACATG